CTGGTTATATACTCGATGTTCATACTTGACATTTTCTTTTAACTTGGTCGAGTATTATTTATTTGACAGTAATTATTTCGGACAGATGTCGGATGGAGAACGCGCGAGGACTAATGTATGCCTAAATGCTTAGATATGCCGATGCCGATGCCATCCATAATTGCCATCAGTGTGCGCTTGCTTCTAGGGAAACAAGAGGATCCCCTGCAGAGCCATCCCGTCTGTGGGCGCTGAGCCATAATGGGGAAAAAGGTCTTAGTTACGGATTTCGTGCTTCAGAAGTAAGGGCGCGTGTATACGCTAAGAAAATTCGCCGAGTCTATGCAAGAATTCATGTCGTTTCTACACACGAACTGTCTACACAGCCTCGGTGCCGGACAAGAAAAAAATTTTGTCATGGCGCATTGTCTGTAAACGAACGTTTATGTGCGTGGACTGATTTTGCAAAGTACCACTGTTGCACCATTAGTAGAGGAACGACCCGTATTGTGGGACAAAACCTTAGAGAATTATAAAGATAAACGATGTACTTTTGAGGCGTGGAGAGAAATATTTATTATTCTATACATATAATTTGCAATCACTATTTTTATTTTATTAGTAGTCTATATATTTCTTCACACAGTCGGTAGTAAAACGACAACTACCTGGAAGTTCACTGCACGTTTACCCTACACACGTCTGCCCGAAAGCATTCGTATCGTGTATATACTCATCATTTTCTTGTCTGCAACAGACACGAAATGTTTTCGTGGCTGGATCCGACAAAATTCTTGTCGTGTACAAGGCCATTCTCGTCTTTTCCGTTGCAGACACGACGAATTTCTTGTGTACACGCGCCGTAAGTCCCCTGGTCCCAAGGTCACACGTAAAAAAGTCTGCAGTCTGCGAGCAGATCCGAAACAATAGTTTTAAATCCTATGTTGTTTTAAGTTAGTAAAAGTTCAAAGTAACTAATATGACTATGGCGCTGGCAATCAATTTGGATTTAAGATATCAATCCCGTCAAGGGTATAGTCAACTTTAGTCCATGGTTATTCTCAAAAACATTTTAATTACGCTGATGATCATACGTTGATACTTAATATTCTACATAATAGTTTGCAGTAAGGTATTGGTTAACCTCCCAGCGCTGTATCTCGCGCGCGGCCTTCACGGATTTGGCCCCACGTTGGGCGCCAATTTATAGTAAAAATGCGGTTTGGATTTAACGAAAAATTTAATGGATAACTTATTGCTGATATTCCATGAACACAATAAGGAGATTTGAACACAATAAGAAAAGGTATGTAGACTGAAAGTCGTGTATGTGGAGTCTAGTCAATATGCAACTGCCAGCGGATCCACGCCTCGGGCGACCGACGTGGGGAGGTGAAACGAAAAATCTTACTACAACTTAAGTTTAAATATCTTAACATGCAAATTATAGGATAATGACAGATTGTCAAGTAGGACGTTTGATCAACAGCATTTTTTTGAGAATAACCGTGGAATGTCAAATTAGCTCTCTTCATTATATACAGAATAAACATGGTTTACAATTTTCCGTGACAGTGACTTTGTCCAGTTGGAAGAAAACTCTTATTTCGGCATAACCATCTGAAGTTTCGCGAAATAATCTTTTGCTTGAAACTTCAAAACTATTCTTTATAGTTGACGTTAATCTTAAAATGAATTGAAGTTTCAAGTTGAAAAAGTCGAAAAAGGATATTAATATCGACACCACTAACGTGTCAAACATTACACTGTATTTGACCTTTCCCTTTGTCAGCTTGTGAAATCAGATATATTCGACAATTACTGTGAGAGGCCAATAATTAGTCAATAAGCAGTATTTTATACGAGGTCCGTCCCAAACATGTCCCAAAAGTATCTGAACTTCGTCCGTTATTCGGCTCTGGGTCTAATTGACATAATCCGGCTCGTGTCACCCTTCAAAGTTTGGTGCTTACACATCCCGAAGCAGTTGTGATCGGAATAACTTTCCTAAGTAAGCTACACGCCTGTCCATAACAGTTAGTGTCACTCAGAGCTTTAAATTGCAAAGATCTGAGGGGCACTACCACCGCGCCCGTCACTCTGAAACATAAGTTGACAAGTCCCATGTGCCTGTAATTTCACCAGCACCTTTACCCTTCAAAACCGGAACACAGTAATGCTTACATTACTGCTTGGCGGCAGAAATAGGTAAGGTGGCAGTACTACCCTGTACGAACTCTTCCACAAGGAGCTCTACTGCTATTAATTGACCTGAATTCTTAATCTTAATTGAAAATTCCGCACAAAGGGCGTCGGTTTGGCGACTAGGAGACGATAAAAAATTCTACAAGCGCACTGAAGGCTATTTCCAAAACTGACTTTCATAACTGCTTCTGGATGTGGAAGCATCGATGGGAATGTGTTATTTAGTCGAATGGAGATTAAATTGAAGGATGCCACGAGTCAGTGTTTCCCGTTGATCATATTGATGGTCAGACTGATCTGGGATCTAAAGGGATTTTTTTCCCCCATTGTCCAGATTGATTTGACAACTAGTGATTCGTCAGAATGACATACAAAAATGTATAACCATGAACAAAACAGCTTTGCATTTTATCGAGTCGGGTATGTTTAATAGACGGAATAACGGACAAAGGTCGGACACTTTTAGGACAGACCTCGTACATAATTCTTTCAAGTTCCACACAATGTGACTCGGATGCAGGATGTCTAAATAGGCGACGCCTTAAGCATTGTGTAAGCTTTTGAAAATGTTTTTTACCACTTCTTAGCAAGCCGCGAAACGTACAACGACCTAGTACCTACAAAATGTACAAAGGTAACCTATCACAAACTCAAATGGTTTTTTTTCGGATTACTGATTGGTAACCATATACAAGCCATGAAACATGACATGGCCGTTGAACAATGGTGAGGAAAAAAAAACAATGGTCAATCGTTAGAATGTGCGTTAAAATCCCTTTTGTGGCTTTGAATTGACGTGAACAAATCTCGGCGTTCACAAATCGTATTTAGACAACATAGACACTGTACTGTAAAACTAATATAATATAAAAATAATATCAGCTATGTATTACTTATAAGGATTTATTAATAAAACAAAAATAATAAACGAATGACTCTTATTTCATGATTTATCTCTGAACTACAACAATTTATAAGACCGAACACTTTTAACATAACAATAATAATATAATTTTCTATAAAAAATAGTTGCTTCCTTATTCCAAACAATGTTTTTTTTATATATTTCCGTTTTATTTAGTGTCTCTAAAAACCAAATGTGTAAAAAAACAGCCTATAGTAAATATAGCTGCCGATGCCTAATATCTTGTAGAAGCACATCCTATTTGTCTATTCAACTTCACAAGAGATTATGTACACACAAAACACTATGCGGCATGTCCCCAGTTTTTGACTGCCTAGGTTATTCTGCAATTACTTTAAAAGCAGTGTGTTTTTGCTAAATTTCGCCGGACAAATTTTATACGTTTTGATTAATCTAATGCGGAGGAATTCCGTAATCAATAAAATCAACTTTAGGCTAAAAAATTCGGACGAAACCTTTTCAATTTCGCATACAAAATTGCATCACTGCATTTAGTTCGTCCTACATTTTTTTTACATTAAGTGCATACTACTAGTAAAAACGTGGCTAGGTGACAAAATATTTTTTCGAGATATCATAAAAAACAATAACCCAGTTTTGAATATTCAAATTCTTAAATGATATATCAGCTATGCATCGATAGGTTAATTTTAACTGGTTTAAACGACAATTTTGTGCTCTATCTTTTGCTATTTAAAATGGATGTTTGACCATTTGTCACTTAGCCACGTTTTACGTAATTACGGCAGACATACGCTTCATTCATGTCGAAAATTCGTAGAACAGTAATTTGTTTTGATAGCACAAATGCTGTGTTGAAGAGCTTGCGGATTTATAAAAAATAATCATTTATAAATAACGTTTTTAGATTACAAGTTTTTAGATTTTCTGTTTTTATATTAAATAGAATAAAATATAATTTTTGTGCCAGAACCATGACGAACTTTTGCTAGTATCTACTTTAAAAGGAACTGGGAACGATTCGACATCACACGAGTTTGCTTATTACGACTTCTCATTAGGTGAACTAGTTTCCATAATATTAGGTGAACTAGTACCTTGTAGTTCGGTGTTTAATCTCACTATTACAAATTATCAGTCAGTTCGATTAATTTTGCCAAATTGCATTTGAAGGAGCGCAGAATCAAATTGATTCTGAAGATTTCACTAATTTCTTATTACATCGGTCAATATTCATAATCAATCAATTATTGTTGTTTGAGTAATTCCTTCCTAGTATCCCAGTAATTTAATGAAATTTTTTTAATAGTCATTTTACCTTTTACAACATTTTTGGTTTATGGTCTATAGCGGAACCAGCACAGGTACTCAATTTGGGCCCCCGCCTCCAACATTTAAAGCTCAATTTTTTAACAGTTACTTTTATATTTTGTTAATTTTGGGATACGATTGCGGTTTTTTTTTATCTGGAGCAGCACATGGCACATTCTTTTGTATTTTACGGAAGCTTATTTGTTTCACAGGTTAATCAATTTTTTTTTCGCATGGTGGATTGACTGTGGCACTGGTTTTCAATGAGCCCTAAGCTGAAATGGGTGACAGACGTGTGTGTCGTAAAATAAAATAAACTCAAAATTTATGTGTATCTAGCAAGAGGCATCTGGTACAGGACGATACAACCGCGACCTCCTCGAAGGCCGTGGTTTAACGGCGCGGGCCTGTCCAGGGAATCTCTTGTTTCAGCATTTAGAATTAGATCTGGTCACATTCCACTAAATAAATTTTATCACTTAATAGGTATCAAAGTCTCGCCCCTCTGCGATTACTGCAAAAGAATAGAAGACCTGATACATCTGTTAGTGGAGTGTGACGACACTAGGGCCGCACGAGTAGGATTTGGAATTGAGGAGATTGGACGTAATGGTAACGTGGTGACGTGGTGACGTGGTGGTGGTGACGTAATGGAGACATAAATAATGTTTTGGGAAACCCCTTACAGAAAATAGCCAAAAAGATTTATACTTACGTAACCTATTGCATCAAATCTAAAAATGCCCCTAACTGACCACGCGGTTTGAGATTCCCTATGAGGCGTAAGGCGGCATAAACACAACGTAGTACAGTATTAAAGGCCTTGTTAAAAATTAGGAAGAAAAAAAATTGTGCATGCGTTCTTTGTGTGTATATACGTAAGATTGTAAAAGCACATAAATATAGCAAAAAAAATATATACCCACTGTGTGCGTTTACAATGTGGTGACTTAATTACGTAACAAATAAAATTATACAACGCGCGGACGGACGCACGGTAGGGGACTTCGCATAATGTATAAAAATTGCTTCGCATAATATATAATAATACTGTATAGTTTAAAATAGATATGCTATGTGAACTATCTATCATCAAAGCCTTTCAAACATTTGTACAGACATTGATTGTTATTGCTTTCGCCTCACTAAACTCTACTAGAACTATGTAGACGCTACACACTTTGTTTAAATACTTTGGCATTCCAACGCTTCCGTGTTCCAGAAATGTCTGTATGCCTCACATTGTTCAGAATGTAATCAAGTTTTAACGTCTCTAATTTTAAATATTAAATCAAATTCACTCAAAAATCGATTACAGTCTGTGAATTTCGTATACGTTGTTGTTCTTTCGACTCCTTCTTCTAACAGTGATTTTGCCAGAGAACCTTTCGTCCAACATATCTATGTAAATTAAATCGGGCGATTTTGGTCTGTCCGTTAAAAGTTGGTCTAAGGCAAGCAATAAATTTTGCTCTTCGAGCTTCGCCCTCTCTTGTTCCGTGTGCGTCGAAACGGCTGCAAGTTTAGTGTTGACCCAGGCTTCGTAGTAAGGCTTCGTGTGGTTGTCAATCGAGGATGGGGCCCATTTCGCAACTTCAGTGTCCGGCCCTGGTCGTGAATACAAGCTCTCTAAGCGTGGGGAACTACACCTGTGAATAATAAATAAAATTATACCTATTACATTATCCGGTCGAGTTAATAAAAAGCCCACACTCACACCAATCGATACTTTGGGTTGTAACATCGAGTATATAACCAGAAATTGAGAGGAAATGTCATTGAATTTGTTTGAAAACTATTCTGCCATATCATTACTGTGACAACTGCGCTCCGATTGGCCAGCCCGAGTTCGAAACAATTGACGGGTGTCGTCAACTGTTTCACTTCAAATCGACCAGTTAACTTGAGCTTTGCTATAATGGACGAAAATTGCAAAATTACGTATTTAATATTTAATTACCGATGTAATGTAATTCCGTTTGTTTTGTAATTAGATGCTTTGCTGTTTTTCCCACACCACCGAATAGAACCGCACGGCCTTGTTAAAGTATCTTTATTACAATAAATACAGAATATTTTTTGGAATATACGGAGACGTACACACAGGTCTGTAGTTGGTCTGTCTATATTTCAGTGCAAACGAGAGTTGATATTTACAAGAGCTGTATCGCTAATGTGTTACCAGGAATATATGGCCCTTATTTCGTCTCTATTTCTGGTTATTTACTCGATGGGTTGTAAAGATGAAACGGGTATCCGGTAATATCCGGCCTATTTTTACTATTCGGCCGGATACTGGATAGTAGAACAATTTCCGGCCGGATACCGGATGTTCATAGTCTGTGCGCCAAATAAATTTATTATAGATGATAGTAATAGGATTAACAGAAACCGCGGGATCGTTGACAATCTGTTTGTTACTTGTAACTCAAAGAACTATGAAATTAGATAACGTTATCTGTAAATTTTGTACTCAAATTTCAATAAAGAATAGAAATAGTTTATTACTACGCCACAACAAAAATATACACAGTAATAAAATGAAGATAAAAAAAAGATGAAGCTACATAAAAACAAAAAATTAAAATAAAAAATAACCGGGAAAAAAGGAATAAAAATAAAATCATACACAACAACAAAGCAAACATGAAATATTTAACACAATTAGATTAAGTGTCATGTGCGCGGCTGTGGCGTATGTAACAGGATCCCACTCAGCTATTGTCACCACCGAGATAAGGCTGTGACGCTGATTTTCAGTGGGCCCTAAAACCGAGTGAGTACCGGACGTGTGTGTCGCGAATATATGAGTAAACTTAAATAAATTACGTAAATATTGGTGTGTTGTGTTCAGTTATATGTATAGAATACTTAAATAATGATTTTGATACATATATAAAGTGATAAGTGTATGAATGTAGTGTCCAACGTTTACAACAAACAAAATAGAACTTATTTAGTTTAAAATGAAACCGATTGTGAGATTTGTGTCAAGTGAACTACGCAAGAAGAGAGGGTAGGCGCGCGGGAGGGGTCCCCGGCTTACGAGCACGAAATACTGACCTCACGAGCCAATAAAAGTGCAACCCACTCCATTGTAAACACTAAACAGGTTTTGTCCTACGTCGTAGGTAATTAGCTCATAAAGTTCCGTTCATAAAAACAAACTATGGTGGATGAAGACCAATTACTCTGCATTAAGTTGTAAAAGTTCTATTTATTTTAATAAACGAGACCAGCTTCAGACAACAGTTTTTCACAAAATTTTGCAAGCTTTGTTAATTTTTAAGTACTACTTGTTATTGCCAGACGACCAAATGAAAGGACCAAACGATTACAATTGATTTGAACTATCTTCAAATACAATATGTACCTACAATAATGAAACGTGAAAGTAGATTAAATTTTAATATAGCCAAAGAATGATGTAGTGCTTTTTTCCTTCTCCACCGTAAGAAATTTGCATTCGGCACACAAAAAACAAACGGCACTGATATTAAAATATTGCTGAATTTGCGATTTTTTCACTGTTATTTTTTTACGGCAGTTGGCCAGACATACGGCAGCCAGATATCCAGCTATTCGGTCTATATGCTAGCCGGATATTATCCGGCCTAGATGCCAGCCGGATACTATGCGGCTATCCGGCCCAGGTGCTCGCCGGATATCCGGTATTCGATCAAATCACTATCCGTTTCATCTCTATTGTGAAGGTAAGTTTTATCAAAAATGTGTTAATGTTCATCCAGGGAACTACTGCCACCTTAGCTATTTCTGCCGCCAAGCAGTAATGTGAACATCTCTGCGGTTCGGTTTTGAAGGGGTAAGGCGGCTTACCACGGCCCGTGATCGTGGGTCGCGTGACGAGCCGCTCGGTCTGATTGAGATCGCGATGTTGTCTGACAATTTGCGTACTCAAGAATTTATAATTTGATGTTGCTGAAGATTCAAGTGATAACACCCGTTCATAAAAAGAACAAATTTGACGATTTATTATAAATATAATAAACAAAAATAATTTATTATAATTATTTATAATTTATTTCATTTCATTTTAATTTATTAGACAGGCACCTTAATTTATCAACTTGAATAATCTTCGATACATAATCTGTCGGCTCGACGCTTCGCTACAGTAAGATATAAAAAAATGGATATTGCAGTTATTTGTCTATGGTTGCCTAATAAAAAGAAACTTCGTAAGTTCGTAGGTTCACGCTTAGGGGTGAATTTCACTTTCCGAATTTCAATGGCACTTTTTGAGTGATTTTTGTAAAACCCTTTTTTCTTTTGGTTGTAAGGTCTTAAACGTACAAATAAGTTCAAGCATTGTCAATAATAATAAAATCACAGAAATATTTAAGTTAAATACAACAAAACACGATATTTTAGGTCACAGGAATGAGATTGCAGTAACACGAATGATTTTCTCATAAACATAAATGAAAAGACGGCATAGTAATGAGAAATTATTATTACAACACACATTTTATCGTTCACAAAAGAACATT